TGAGTTGGATTCTTTAGCTTACACACCGGGTTAGGTTTGGGGTGTGTGTCATCATGAACTTAGATTTTGGGTTTGTAACACCCCTGAAAATGGTAAGTTGATGAGGAAGGGAAAATTGCATTTTTGGCAATGGTGCAGGTTGTACGGAAGACACCTACGGACCGTATAAGGTCCTACAATCCGTAGAAGATAGTTGTAGGAAGTGGTCTTGGAATTTAGAGTTTTTGAAGTCTCTGAAGTTTTACTACGGACCATCAAGACAGTTTGTAGAAGGTTCTACAGCCTGTATGAGGGGTTCCACACTCAGTGAAAATTCTGGTTGACTTTAGTTTCTACGGTTGGTGTCTACGGCCCGTAGGAAATATACGGACTGTAGGAACCGTTCGTGGAAATTGATTGAATTTTAGACCTCCAGTACTTGCTCTACAAAAGACCAAAATGGTCCGTAGAAGTTTCTACGTATTGTAGGTCACTTCAGGTATATTTTAAGTTATGGTCATTTGGGTTTTTTCCTACTATTTTAACTCCTAAACAATGACATTTTGACCATATAACTAAATCTTATAACCGATTTTACTCTTAGAAATCTACCCATTCCTTTCCATTCACCAAAAACTCTCAAAATCTCTCAAGATTTTCTCTCCAAATTCTCGCCAAGGCTCTCAAAGGAAATTTTAGGGTTCTTCAAGCTTCAAATTTTCTCTTGCAAACTCTAGACCTGGGATTTATCAAGGTATGTGGAAAGTTCTTTAATGGATTCCCTTTCATCTATTGAGTTCCAAAGATTTCTTCGAACCTCCTTTATGATGTAAATCCAAATTCTAGGGTTTTGCATGTTTTTTAATGGATTCAATTGTTTGTGGCTATATTCAATCTATATGATCTTATTATGCATGAATTGAGTTGTATTGTATGTGTTTGATGAATTTCCTAGGAACCCATGCCATATGCTTATATTGTGATTGTGGATTATGCTTTGAGATTATGCGTGGAATATTGAATTGGAGAATTTATTTCATATTTTGCATCTTTGTCTAGAATTTGCACTGCATGTTATTGAAGCAGAATAAAATTGTTTCTTTGTTTAGAAGATGATAAGACTTTCTTTGATTTGTTTTTGTAAATTTTAGCCTTTTCAGTCATTATATCACTAGTTAGCCTCTTGAGCCTATGACCTTTTGCTGATAGCCTTATTTTTCCTCGACTCTTTTGTTGAATCCCTAATTTTTGCACTTTGCTTCCTTGAGTATTGTAGCATAGACTTATTATAAGTTTTAAATCTGAAGAAAATGAACGGTTCAGTAAAAAAAGTAATCAATGATAGCTACAAAGTGATGTCAAAACCCTCCTTTAAAAGAATTTGGCATTAAAAAGAAAAAAAAGAGAAAAAAAAACATAATTGAAGCATTCTTGAGATAACGAGAATTACTTGTGAAATAATTGTTGAAGAGAGGACTAAAAATAAAAAAATATAAATAATGGGTGATGAAGTCTAGAAGTGCAAAGTGCTTAGGGAAGAGCAAGTCACTATTATATTGTTTTCCTACCCGTCCCCAAACCTTCATTAAAACCTATCAAAGTCCTATTTGATTCTATTCAAGCATGCTTAATTAGTGGAGATGTGCACAATGAGCAAACCTATGGTTCTTTGTGCATACATGTGAATTTTATTTGTGAGTGTGAGAGTTGTTCTTTGATGCTAAGTCCTTAATTTATATTCACTCTTTTAAATTGAGTATGTTGACTATTTCTTCTTGTGAGGACACCTGTTTCATGATAGATACGTGATTTTACTAGCTTTCTTTGATGAAAGTAGGTGAGCAAGCTGAAATTTGATAGGTTCAGTGTCCTTCCTTGAGGTTAGGAGGTGAGAGATTTGTTGTTTATTTGTGTATCTTCCATAATGATTGAGAAGTGTATTTGATGTTATGAAATTTGTGGATGGCCTAATTGTTTGTATCAACCAAAATGGTGGCATTACTAGTATGATTTTTTTGAGAGGAGCTTTAATGCTAGCTCGAAGAAGAGCAAAAATTTAAGTGTGAGGTGTTGATGTGAGTCCAAAAATATATATTTTATAAATAATTATTTGTCTCACATTTAGCATTATTACTTGTCCCTTTTTAGTATGAATTTTATGAATTGTGCTATATAGTGTATTTTATTTGTATGATTAAATTGGTGTGAGATGAAAAAGTTTGAAACTAAAATAAATTAAATATAAAAATTATAGAAGAAAATCAAGAAAACAGTTTAATGAATTAAATTGAATATTATATTATATTTATATATGGAAACATGGTAACAAATAAAGAAAACGTACCTGCACTGCCACGGTTGCAGCAAGTGAAGCCATTATGTTGAGGAGATGAAAAACAAAAGATGCCTAAAAATATGATGGCTTTTCCTTCCAAGTATGCTGCGACTGCGAGTGATGGTTGAGCATTGATTTCGTTTGGATGAATTTGATTATTATATAAATTATTTTTATATTTTTGTTCTAGTATTTCTTGTTTAATCATCATGAAAATAAATTTAATGTCTATTTTTAAACATTGTGCTTGATTACAGAAAACATGAGGAAATGTAAATGCTCCTAGTTGAGTTTATCTATACCCATTTGACACCCATGACTTGTACTCTCTCAACCACACCCATTTCCGCACCCTTTCCAATACGGGAGTTAGATACTCGACTGTTAAACTAGAGAGACCCACAAATCCATAGAATTATGAACTGATCATTGTTGGAGAAAAATCAGGGCGGTCTACATCTCCTGATATTCAGGTTTGTGAAAAGAAATTAAGCTTTAGGTCTCTGTTCATGCCTATTAAAACGGAAATCAACATCTTTCTTTTTTATTGAAGAACTCAACCAACTTTTTCTTCTTACTTCAATCCTCACTTGATTTTTACTGATCTTTGTTGGGAGTAATAATATGTGGACATTTTGTTAGATTTTTCTTCTCTTCAAAGTAAATTTATGTCGTTTAATTTGAATATGATTTTTTTTTGCGAAAAGCTCCATTTTGTTTATGCTTTATGAACCATCTAGGTTTTTTCCAGTAGTTTTTTTGGTGTGGCATGTTGTATCTATTGATGTGTTCATATACTGCAAAATAAGATGCAATAATTGTTATTATTTAATAAATTTGTTAATTTATACTTTCTAGGACAAAATTTGCATTATCCTTCAAAAGTGTAATTTTACCTTATAATATGATATAGTTTTTTTATGTGAACTGCATAGTTAAAAATTTCCTTTTTAAGCTTGTTATTCTGGTCACGACACCTTAAATTTTCACACTAATAATAATAAGAGAATATCAATCCAATAGTCCACACAAATTCAAAATGCTATATTTTTAATCAACAAAAGAGTGGGTTAGGATCTAACCTTGTGCATAAGATGCTATACATCCTCACACAACCACCTTTTTATACACTATTTAGAAGCAGCAGACTTGTGGAGTATGTTTATCACTCTTTATGTAGTAAGATATCATCTCCTTCTAATCAAACTGTTAATTCTAATTTCTCTCTTTCAGGTTTCAGTCCGTGCTGTTGTGATGATTGATCTTGAGTGTGTTCAACCTCCTCGGCTTTGTAAGTATCACACTTCTACTTTCTTTGATTATTTTGCCTAGCTTCTTCGATTTTTCTGTTTCTTTATTTTGTTGATTTGTTTTACTTAAGTGTATAAAATTGCATGTTCTGCGTTTATTTTAGTTGTTTCAACCTGTGATATGTGCCCGTAAACCTAAAATTCTAACATCATAAAACCATGTAAAATAGATGGTTTTTGGACAAAAGTTCACAACGGCTATTAACGACTAGTTCTACACTCTCTCTCTCCTCCCTGTTCCGTCATGGAACCACTGGACAGACAAGGTCTGGTGGGACTGAGGGGGAAACTAGAAACTCCTAAAGGGACTGGACCACCAAACGACTCAGTACAAGAGAAAATTTCTTATGCCTCTCGTCTCTGTGACGTCGTCGACAACAATTCCATCTGCCCAAAAACGTGAAAAAGTGATGGCAAGGCAAACAACTCACAACGGTGTTCCAACAGTAATCTTCAAAGCTGCGGACTATTACGGAATCATGGAACAAGACTGTAGGAGAACCATTGTTGGAATTTTTTTGAAACCTAGGCCCCAAATTGACAAAATTAGATCAAAATTCAAGGAATTGGTAGCGCTCAAAGGCTCTGTCAAATTTGGGGTTTACGACAACTATAATGTGTTCATCGACTGCTCGAATGATGAAGACTTTCAGAATGTTTGGTATAGAAGAATGATTGAAATAGAGGGATTGCAAATGTGGATGCAAAAATGGACCCCCGACTTCAAGCCGGAGGAGGGCATCCCCATCGCTCCGGTATGGGTCCTCTTACCTGAATTACCCTTTCATATGCACAACTGGCCATATGTTAAACAACTTCTTATCCCCATTGGGACGCCTCTATCCCTTGACGCTGCAATAGAAAGTAAGACAAGACCCAGCATGGCAAATGTGAGAGTAGAAGTCGACCTACTCAAACCAAGGCTAAACAAGGTTTGGGTGGGGCTCAAACATGAAGGCTCTCCACTAACTGGTTTTACCCAGAAGGTGGAATATGAAAATATCCCAAAATATTGCAAACACTGCAAAAAATTGGGACAAAATATGAATGATTGTTGGATCTTGGAGAGAAAGAGGATCATAGAGGCAAAAAGGGAAAATACTAAAGCTAAGAGAGCGGAACAAGGAGAAACAAGCAATGCCGAAGATAATGGTAAGGCCACGAATGCTAACGACCAGAATGCCGAAGATGTAGAACAAAATACTCAAGCTGGCAGACCTCAAGCAAAGCGAAAGAACAAGAACAAGGAAACTGTGAATATAGAAAATGTTGATGTTGAAACTATCAACAATGAGCTGATAAGAAATGAGGAGAAATACGAGGAACAAGAGACTGATGATGTGTGAAATCTCAATAAGGAGGAGGATAAGGACAAGATGGTTGTTAGAATAAACAAAAACAAAAAGAAGAAGAAGAAAGATAGCAATAAGGCTCTCGAAAAGAAAACCAAGGTTACCTTCAAGCTGAACAAAGACCAACAAGAAGCTGGAAATAACACCAACAACAAGAGGAAGGATAAGAAGAAAGATATAATTCAGAAGGAGGCACATACCAGTAATAAACCAGAGGCTGGCGATAGTATTTATAACAACAATGTAAAACAAATCTCGAATGAGGGATTTCCTGAAAAGACAGAACAAAGGACCATGGAATGTGTCAACAGGGATCAACAAAGTTCCTCTAATGTACCTCCGGAGGTCAACCAAGCGTTAATGACAGAAGATGTTGAGGATTTCGAAGTGGAAAGAAGAAGAGAGGTAAATACCAAATATTTGGATACACAAGGAAGCAGTAATGAGATTGTGGAAAATTCAGTGATGGAATCTAGCCTAAATACTGAGATAAAAAACCAGAAGGGGATAAACCTTGTGGTGGATCTCAACTTACGCCACGATACAGAGAATTACCATACGGAGGAAGAAGATATAAGAGATAGCTCAATGGATGGGGTTGACGATGAGACTGCTAATTCTAAAAGATTCAACTTTCCGAGGATGAACAATGGGACTCTAATGACCTAGGGAGGTACCATATGAAAGAAGTTGTACAAAAGTGTGGCTTATCTCTAGTTAAGAGGGGAAGAAGACAAAGAAGAAATCACAAAAGAAGTACTAAGAATTCCATCTCTTTGAGTAAGGGAAGGACACAAAAAAATCCATATAATGTCTTTATGATCAATGCACTTTTTTGGAACATAAGAGGTGTGAGGACCAAAAAAGCAATACACAGACTTAAGAGTCTAGTCAAAAGGAATAACATCCAGTTTGTAGCAATTTTTGAACCTTTTATCAACATGAACAAGATTGAGGGATATGAAAAGTTTTTGCGTTTCCATCACTGCATTAGCAATGATATTGGGCAGATTTGGTTTTTTTGGAATCAAAATTTACATGCCACGATAGTATCGAATGAAGACCAACAAACCACTTTGTATATGGATAATGGCTCTGGCGTAAATGGGGTGCATATAACTTCTGTTTACGCTAAATATAGTGAAATAGAGAGGGTGGACCTATGGGATAGCCTTGCTAACATGAACTCTCAAGTGCAAGATGCTTGGTGCATAGGGGGAGATTTTAACGTTATCCTGGAGGCTTCCGAAAAACTAGGAGGAAAACTGTATCAGGCTATTGAGAGCTTGGATTTTGCCAATTGTATGGTGAGATGTGGGGTGGAAGATGCAGGTTACGTGAGCTCTACTCACACTTGGTGCAACAACAGGAGGCCGAGAAAGAGGATATGGAAAAGGTTTGATAGGGTGCTTATCAATGATGGTTGGCTTCATAAATTCCAAAATATTATGGTAAGACATTTGAGCAGGACAGGGTCAGATCATAGACCTTTACTGGTAAAATGTTTTCACAACTAACAAGAACCTATAAAATACTTTAGATTCTTCAATTTCTGGATCGATCAACCTGATTTTTATGATGTTGTGGAAAAGGAATGGATAATCCATGTTAAGGGTCACCCTATGTGGATCATGCAACAAAAGCTTAAGAACTTGAGTAAAATTCTTAGTGTTTGGTCTAAAGACGGAGATATCTTCAAAAAAGTTGAGGAATGGGAGGAGATAGTACAAAGACTTGAAGATATTGATGTTATGGATAACACTGAAGAGTCCACCGTTAATTTAAATAAGGGCCAAGCGGAATATGTTTCTTGGATGGCAATGCAAGAGGCTTTGCTAAAACAGAAAGCTCAAATTAGATGGTTTGAGGAAGAAGATAACAATACTTGGTACTTTCATAATGTTATCAAAGACAAGACACGAGAAGAAGGCTTTAGATCCATAGAATACAAAACCACAATGGCAATTGGATCCAAGATAGTGATAAGATTGGTAAAGCTGTTGTCAAACAGTTGTCTAAACGTTTTCATCTCCCTGAACATACAGTGGATGATAATGTTGTGTCTTGCATCACTGAATGTATCATCGACGAGGATAATCTTATGTTGTCCACTATGCCTAATGAAGGCGAGATTAAAACGACTATTTTTAATATGAGTCCTACTAGTTCTACTGGACCAGATGGTTTTAATGGCATGTTTTACTAGAGATGTTGGGAAATTATCAAACCAGAGTTAGTGAATTTTATCCAAAGTTTCTTCAAAGCTCTGGTTCTGACCAAATATTATTCTCATGCTTGCCTTGTTTTAATCCTGAAAGTCAACTCTCCTTCTAATTTTGTTGACTTTAGACCGATTAGTCTAAGCAACTTTTCTAGTAAGATTATCTCCAAGATTCTTGCTAGAAGACTTAACACTCTTTTACCTAAGTTGATATCCCTTAATCAAAGTGGTTTTGTCAAAGGCAGGCTCATCACAGATAATGTTATGTTGGCTCATGAAATAGTTCAAAGTATTTCTCAGCCTAACGTGGGTAGCAATGTTGTGATAAAGTTAGATATGGCTAAAGCTTATGATAGGATATCTTGGAAATTTCTTATTACGGTTCTTAGAAATTTTGGTTTCTTTGTTTGGTGGACTGAGATTATATGGAGATGGATTTCTTAGACGTGATATTCGATCATCGTCAATGGTAATAGAACTAGTTTCTTTACCTCATCCCAAGGTTTGAAGCAAGGGGATCCCCTGTCCCCTTCTCTTTTTGTTCTGGGATCTGAAGTTCTGTCAAGAATGCTCAATAATCTTTACGATCATCCTAATTTTTACCCCTTCTCTATGAGTATGAATGGCCCTCAGATTAATCATCTGGCATATGCAGATGACATTGTCATTTTCTGTTGTGGATGCGTTGGAAGCACTTAAATTAAGTATTTTATTATATTTTTAGTAGATTTATTTATTATTCTAGAATAGGATTTATATTTCATAGTTTTATAAGGATTAGGTTAAGTTATAGTTATTAGTTTGGAATAGGATTTAGGTCTCCTACTTTCATAAAAATTATATTTCCTATTGATGTAATAAGACTACTATTTAAAGGGGCTTTTGATGAATAAATTGGCAAGTCATATTTCAGTAAAAAGCAAGAAATCGGAGTTCCCTCTTCCATTGAACTCTAAGGTTTCAGTCTCCCTTCAATGAGCTGAAGTTATATACAAAAATAGGTCGATCTAGGAATTTGAACAAAGGCAAGGGACAGTCGAAGTCAATTGATTTAGATTTTCATGTTCATCGTCATGTGACTTTATCCTTCTCTAAGAATCCTAACAATTTGGTATCAGAGCCTAACACAATGGGCGATGAGATTAGTTCCATATTACACGATGAGATCAATTCCAAGTTTCACGAAGAACGTGTTAATACAGAAACACTAATGGACTCTAAACTTGCAGCTATGGAACAACGTCTTGGTGAAAGAATTGTCCAAGTCATTCAAGAACAATTTTCTAGCTTGAGAATTGGCTCTACAAAACCAGTAGTTCATGGGGTAGAATCAAGTAACGCCCAAACAATTGGTAAATCAACAAATTCGACTCCTAGAGGCAATACACTGCCTATTAAACCAGCTGATCATAATCATCAAACTAGTGGTAATTCCAATTTGACAATACCAAGATATGCAAAAATGGATTTTCCTACTTATGATGGCACCAACGACCCACTGATTTGGGCATATCGTTGTGAGCAGTTTTTTGAAAATCAACATACAAGAGATGCAAAAAAGGTTGGAGTCGTTGGATTTCACCTGTTGGGAGAAGCACAGTTATGGTAATATTAGCTTAAACGAGCGAAGGGGCCAATGAGTTGGGAAGACTTGCAAAAACAATGTTTCTAGCGATTTGGACCTCCTGAGAGTAGCAACCCGGTAGGTGAATCGATCATGCTTCGACAAACTGGTAGAGTTGAAATTTTTCAACGTTAGTTCCAAGAAAAGTTGGCTAGGGCTAATGAGCTTATTCCAGAACACTTGCACGTGGGAATATATATGGCAGGGTTGGATGATTCAATCAAATTGGACGTCCAAATCGCGCAAACCATCTGACTTATCAACGACTATGAGTATAGTCAGGGATTTAGAGCAAAAACAACAACTGCAAAAAGCGCAGCAGTCCCAGACAAGTCTTGGCAACACAGTAAACATGGCAAAATCTGCTACGAGTTCAGTCGATTCATTTAATACCAAGACCAACAACTAGACCCCTTTGGTGAAGCGATTAACTCGGGCAGAAATGGCAGAGAGAAGAGCTAAGGGATTATGCTATAATTGTGACGAACTATATTCCACAATTCACCAGTGCCAACGACTTTTCTGGCTGGAATTGGATGATTTAGCAGACAATATTCCAGAAGTTCTGGATGATTGCCGTGAATTTCGAGCTTGAGGAAAAGCTCTTTCAATGTAAGATGGGGGGGATTAATGTTGTGGATGCTTTGGAAGCCCTTAAATCAAGTATTTAATTATATTTTTTGTAGCTTTATTTATTATTCTAGAATAGGGTTTATATTTCATAGTTTTATAGGAATTATGTTAAGTTATAGTTATTAGTTTGGAATAGGATTTAGGTCTCATACATTCATAAGAATTAGATTTTCTATTGATGTAATAAGACTCCAATTTAAAGGGGCTTTTAATGAATAAATCGTTAAGTCATATTTCAGTAAAAAGCAAGAGATCGGAGTTCTCTCTTCCATTGAACTCTAAGGTTTCCGTCTCCCTTCAATGAGCTGAAGTTATACACAAAAATAGGTTGATCTAGGAATTCTAACAAAGGCAAGGGAAAGTCGAAGTCAATTGATTTAGATTTTCGTGTTCATTGTCCAATGACTTGATCCTTCTCTAAGAGTCCTAACATTTTCACTGCTGGCAAAAGAAAGTCTATTAAAGTTGTCATGAAACAGGTGAGGCTATATGAATAAAGCTCCGGGCAAAAGGTTAATAAGGAGAAGAGTTTTTTCTGCACTTCCAGTAAAATCTCACCCTCTAGGATCAATAGGATCTGATAAAACAAGTTTTAGACACAAGCAATTTCCTTTTACATATCTGGGGTGCCCTATCTATACCGAAAAGAGGAAAATCTGTTTAATGATTTAGTTAACAAAATCACCACCAAACTTTCTGGGTGTCATGCCAAACATTTATCCTCTGGTGGAAGGTTGTACTTATCAAAAGTGTCATCCAAGCAATCCCAACATATACTCTCGCAGATCTCAATCTCCTCAAAACTACTCTCACTCTCATTGAAAAGTTCATTGCTAACTTTTTTTGGGGGACTCAGGATGACAAAAAAAAATATCATTGGAGTGCGAGGGATAAATTATGTAACACCAAGGATTTCAAAGATATAGGTACTAAAACTCTTGTAGACATCAGGGAATGCTTTGCATACAAGAGATGGTGGAACCTGAGGACCCAACAATCTCTTTGGGCCTCGTTTGTTATGGCTAAATATTGTACCAGAGTAGGCCCTATTGCTAAAGCTATTAATGCTCCTCAATCCAATACTTGGAGGAAATGTATGCAAATCAAACACAACGTTGAATAACACATTGTCTGGAAGATCAATGATGGAGGGTGCAATTTTTAGTGGGATAATTGGACTGGAAAGGGTGCTTTAGCTAAGATTTTCACTAACCAGTCCATTTATTCTAAAACAAAAGTTAGTGAATTCATTCAAGAAGGGAGTTGGGATATGAATAAGCTTGCTGAATTTCTTCCTGATCAAATGGTTAATATCATAGCTAATATCCATATTGGCAAGTGGCCCAAGAAAGACATGGCTATGTGGGAGCTTGAGACAGAAGGCATATATTCTACCAAGTCGGCGCAGAACATTATTAGAACGCACAAAGAAGAGGATTTCACCACCAGTCAAGTATGACATCCTAAACTTCCTTTTAAAATTTATTTCCTTGCATGGAGAATCATCCATAGAAAACTTCCTTTCGATGATACTCTATGCAAGTTTGGGACTGACAGGGAGTGTCTTTATGTTTGTTGTGCACAAAAACAAAAGGAAACTGGGCAACACCTTTTTATAAACAACAACATAGCTAAACATATGTGGAACACTTTTGGGGTACCTCTAGGTATATGTACTCAGACAAATTGAAGCGTCAAATGAATTCTCAGAAAATGGTGGTCGACCAGAGTAAAAGGAACCATCCACAAAATGACCTTACACATAGTTCCTATTTTAATCTAATGGGAGAAATGGAGACAAAGGTGTTCTTGTAAATATGGTACACAAAAGATGTGTTGGTATAGAGGAATGGAGAACAACATCTGGTTGAACCTCAAGATGGCTATCAAGTTAGCTTTTCCAACATTTGAGATGGCAGACTCCTGGAAAAATTTCAGCGAAATAGTGGAGCATCTTAGACATACTACCGAATGGAAGATAATCAAATGGATTAATCCAACCACAGGAAAGGTGAAACTCAACACCGATAGGAGTTTCTTCAAAAATGGAGCTGGCATTGGTGGCATAATTAGGAATGAATATGGCAACATGATTATGGCATTTGCGGCAAAGTGGACCGTGCCATCAATAACAAAGAAAAGGCAAAAACGGCTAAGTATGGGATAGAATGGTGTGCTCAGAATGGGTTGACTAATTGAATAATTGAGGTAGACTCTATGATAATTGTGGATATGATAAAGAACAGAGGCACCAACAATCTTAAACTCTAGACTATAATCGAAGATATTGTGCAGATCATTAACAATATGAATTGTAGTATTGAACATTGCTTTAGAGAGGCTAACCAAGTGGTAGATAGACTAGCCAAATTTGATGCCATCAATGAGGGAAGCCATATCCTTCAAAACTGATAGCAGATCCCCAACAGTTCCAAAGGAGCTTATCACCTGGATAAAGCTCAATTACCTAGCATGAGAATTAAATATGTCAAGGCCAACTTCTTTGTTGGTTAAGTTTACTTTTGTACATATTGCTAGTCAAAGAACTAGCAACTTTTGTTGAGTTCCTTTGAACTCAATGGTGCATCAAGATGTAAGTTTTTTCTGGAAGAAATAAGATGCACATCCATTCATGGATGTAATTTATTAAAAAAAAAGGTGGTTGTTGGACTCAAGGTTTTGTTGGCACACGATCACCAAACTTTTGGTGTTCCTCCCTTGATTAAAA